CTTCCCCATCTAAAGTAGAAGCAAGAGCGGAGTGTTCGCTGCCTGAGGAAGAGTGACGCACACGTTTGCGTTGAGCCTTGTCGGCAGTATATCTTTGAGTCCCTCTGGGGTTGCTGGGAGACTTCGTTGGGCTAAGGCTTCTAGTTCTAGAGTTTCCTGACGAGGTGGATGGTGCCTGCCCAGAGGGTACATTGCTTGCACTTGGTTCAGCATGATATTCTTGTGGCTGAGATGTATGCTGCTTTCTTCGGCGACTAATGGACACAGTCTGCTCTCGACCGTCGCAGTCAACACCTCTCCCACACCTGTACTGCGGCATAGAAGCGACCCACTTAGCAGGTGACTACATTGCCACCTGCTTTGCGTGGCTTTGCCATCATAGTCACCTGATCTGCGTGATATTGCTGCCACACCTTGGCATCATTGTCACCTTTCTGGCGTGGGTTGGGTCACAGCCCACGTCACCTTAGTATTTAGGCCAGCTAGTGCAGACTAGTGGCCTTTATACCTGGTCGTGCCCCCGTTGGGGCTCAAAAACATACATACACCATAACACACACCTGCACTGTTCCAAAGAGTGTTGTGGATAAACAAATAAACTCTTTGGCTGCCTTTTCAGTGCTCTTTTTCTCCCTCACCTCTTTCTTCACACTATTCCACCTTCGTTCCTGGACCTCACCTTCCCGAAGGTGATTCGTCTGGGGGCGGTGCAGTGGTGCTTCCAACCGCACAGTGTGTTTGTTGGGGGGCCACTGTACACAGGATAGCCTACGAGCCCTCATTGGGTGGAGAACTCCACCGACTAATCCATCGAGGGGGGAAGCTTCAGGAACTAGGGCAACATATGCACTCTCCGCCACTCCAGGATAGTGATAGGGATAGGAGTGCAGGGCGGGGGGGGGGGGGTGTAATTCGATAGCATTCTTTCAAGGACTAGGCAGGTAATTTTTGTGTATTAATTCTCCAAAAGAAAAATGTAAACATGCCGAAGGTTCGCATAAAAACCGGAGGAGGACCGTCCTCCAATGACAAGAATTGCTGAAGATACTCTGCCAACAGGACATAAAGATTGTAAAACTTCTGGACAAGTATGATGGGCACATAGCCATAACAGAAACCGATGTACCAACAATGTTTGAAAACGCAACAAGGAACGCTCTTACTACAGCAGGCTTCACCCCAGTCCTCTCTCCTGAGAAAAGAGCGAAAATGACCCTAGTGTTGAAGGGAATACATCAGGAGGTGCTAAGAGAATCGAACCAAGCTATTCGCCCAAATAGAAGATATTTACACCATGGAAAAGCCCAAGTTTATCAAGGTCCGCTTCATAACTATGGACATGGCTAACAAAATCAAAGAGACTGGGTTATGCCTCTTCTGGTTTTCCATCCCCTCCAGAAACATCGAATTCGAAAAGTACACAAATGTACCCCAGTGCATGGTGTGCTATTCATATGATCACACAAAAAAATCGTGCCCAACAAAGGACAGGAAGATTTGTAGTGAGTGCTCAAGAAGGACACATTTTCAGAGAATGCACAAATAAATCAAATCCCAAATGCATTAAATGTGGAGAGAATCACAGAATACTCCGGAAAATGTAAGACAAGAAAGGAAATAATCAAAAAAAATTAAAATGAAAAATCAAACAAAGAACATAAAGAAATCAACCTGTCATACAGCTCTGTGGCCAAAAAAGCAGCAGACGCAGCTCTTAAGGAGATTAACACTACAAAACAAGTCCTGACACTCCCAAAAGACCTCTCGTTAAAAGAGAGAGATCAAGGCCGGCATCATAAAATTTGCATTCACCAACAGAAAATTTATCAATGGGGAAGAAAAGATCAAAGGACATCTAGAAGCCGGATCTATTGAAGTACATGGAGGAATGTTAATAGGACGACACAAATTAAAAGGAATTAGAAATGAGTATGCTGAAGCAACCCAACCCAAACTTAAATCAGCAAAATGAACCTTAAAACAATACAATATAACATCCTCCACTGGCACACAAGACGACACGAACTGTGCAGCACATATAATTCACTAAGTCCTGACATTATCCTCCTAAACAGCCATGGCCTCGAAGATAGTGACACTACAGATTTTCTTATTCACAACCTATCAAAAGAAACAAAACCAGGGAGAGAGCCGATGGGGTGGCCATTGCAGTAAGACGAGGTCTGCAACACCGAATTATTAATAACTTTGACCAAGAGTTTTTGGCCATTGAGGTGGATACAGCCAGAGGACCCATAATTGTAGCCACAGGATACCTACCTCCACGTCGCCCTTATCTACCATCCCCCGATCTACTTAAGCTCCTTAGACAACAAAAACTTGTCTACATTATCGGAGATTTTAATGGTAGACATAGAATACTCGGGCAGAGAGATAATAACAACGTCGGAAACAGCTTGGCGAGATTAATGGCAGATGGCCGTCTGAATCACTTGGGCCCAGACTTCCTTACACTGATAAGACAGAAGTCAGCCACAAGCCCAGACATCGTCCTCAACAACAGATACAGATATTTCAATACCCGTATCACTCCTGGCAATATCACCACCAGTGATCACCCCCCAATCATTGTAGAGTTATCAATAAAACCCATCCTCATCCCAACCATCCCTCAATCCGACTACAAGAAGGCTGACTGGAACAAATTCAAGGAACTCCTGGAAGACAAATCAGACAATGACCTAAATGGGAGACCCATTTCAGACATTGATCTAACCGAAAGATGGTATGATGACCTCCTTGAAGCCAAAGAAACCTCCATCCCAAAAAGAGCTTACAGAACTGCACCACACCGTACAAGCTCCCCTGAACTACAGTTACTCCAGGCCCAGTACAAGGGGATAAAAACCCTTGTCAACACCAGAGGCTGGGGCCAGGAGCTCAGAAAACAATTCAAACAAGTCAGGGTACAGTTAACAGAGACCTGCAGAGCTCATTTCAGTAACAAATGGATAGAACTCGCCACCAATCTTGCCTCAAAATCAAGAGGCCCAAAGGACTTTTGGCAACAACTAAGAATCCTAATGGGAAACGACATCAA